CCCTAGAGGCAATAATAAAAGTATTATTATTATATTTCCTTGTTCATGATAATTGTCTTTTATTCATGCTATAACTATATTATCCGGAAATCGTAATACACGTGTGAATACATAGACCACAATATGTCCCTAGTGAGCCTCTAGTTGACTAGCTCGTTGTGATCAACAGATAGTCATGGTTTCCTGGCTATGGACATTGGATGTCATTGATAACGGGATCACATCATTAGGAGAATGATGTGATGGACAAGACCCAATCCTAAGACTAGCACAAAAGATCGTGTAGTTCATTTGCTAGAGCTTTGCCAATGTCAAGTATCTCTTCCTTTGACCATGAGATCGTGTAACTCCTGGATACCGTAGGAGTGCTTTGGGTGTATCAAACGTCACAACGTAACTGGGTGACTATAAAGGTGCACTACAGGTATCTCCGAAAGTATCTATTGTTTTATGCGGATCGAGACTGGGATTTGTCACTCCGTGTAAACGGAGAGGTATCTCTGGGCCCACTCGGTAGGACATTATCATATGCGCAATGTGACCAAGGAGTTGATCACGGGATGATGTGTTACGGAACGAGTAAAGTGACTTGCCGGTAACGAGATTGAACAAGGTATTGGATACCAACGATCGAATCTCGGGCAAGTAACATACCGATAGACAAAGGGAATTGAATACGGGATCGATTGAGTCCTTGACATCATGGTTCATCCGATGAGATCATCGTGGAACATGTGGGAGCCAACATGGGTATCCAGATCCCGCTGTTGGTTATTGACCGGAGAACGTCTCGGTCATGTCTGCATGTCTCCCGAACCCGTAGGGTCTACACACTTAAGGTTCGATGACGCTAGGGTTATAAAGGAAGCTTGTATGTGGTTACCGAATGTTGTTCGGAGTCCCGGATGAGATCCCGGACGTCACGAGGAGTTCCGGAATGGTCCGGAGGTAAAGATTTATATATAGGAAGTCCTGTTTCGGCCATCAGGACAAGTTTCGGGGTCATCGGTATTGTACCGGGACCACCGGAAGGGTCCCGGGGGCCCACCGGGTGGGGCCACCTGCCCCGGGGGGCCACATGGGCTGTAGGGGGTGCGCCTTGGCCTACATGGGCCAAGGGCACCAGCCCCTAGAGGCCCATGCGCCAAGATAAAGGAAAAAGGGGAGAGTCCTAAAGGGGGAAGGCACCTCCGAGGTGCCTTGGGGAGGATGGACTCCTCCCCCCTCCTTAGCCGCACCCCTTTCTTGAAGTAGGGGGCAAGGCTGCGCCTCCCCCTTCTCCCCTGCCCCTATATATAGTGGAGGGGAGGGAGGGCATCCACACCTGAGCCCTTGGCGCCTCCCTCCCTCCCGTGACACCTCCTCCTCTCCCGTAGGTGCTTGGCGAAGCCCTGCAGGATTGCCACGCTCCTCCACTACCACCACGCCATTGTGCTGCTGCTGGATGGAGTCTTCCTCAACCTCTCCCTCTCTCCTTGCTGGATCAAGGCATGGGAGACGTCACCGGGCTGTACGTGTGTTGAACGCGGAGGTGCCGTCCGTTTGGCACTTGATCATCGGTGATTTGAATCACGACGAGTACGACTCCATCAACCCCGTTCACTTGAACGCTTCCGCTTAGCGATCTACAAGGGTATGTAGATGCACTCCCCTTTCTACTCGTTGCTGGTCTCTCCATAGATAGATCTTGGTGTTACGTAGGAAATTTTTTGAATTTCTGCTACGTTCCCCAACATGGTTCCCACTTCAGCCCATGGGGCCCTCCGGGATAGGTGGCCCCACCCGGTGAACCCCCGGGATCCTTCCGGTGGTGCCGGTACAATACCGGTGACCCCCGAAACTTTCCCGGTGGCCGAAACTGGACCTCCTATATATAAATCTTCACCTCCGGACCATTTCGGAACTCCCTGTGACGTCCGGGATCTCATCCGGGACTCCGAAAAACTTTCGGGTTACCGCATACTAATATCTCTACAACCCTAGCGTCACCGAACCTTAAGTGTGTAGACCCTACGGGTTCGGGAATCACGTAGACATGACCGAGACAGCTCTCCGGCCAATAACCAACAGCGGGATCTGGATACCCATATTGGCTCCAACATGTTCCACGATGATCTCATCGAGTGAACCACGACGTCGAGGATGCAAGTAATCCCGTATACAATTCCCTTTGTCAATCGGTACGTTATTTGCGTGAGATTCGATCGTCGGTATCCCAATACCTCGTTCAATCTCGTTACCGGCAAGTCACTTTACTCGTACCGTAATGCATGATCCCGTGACCAACCCCTTGGTCATATTGAGCTCATTATGATGATGCATTACCGAGTGGGCCCAGAGATACCTCTCCGTCATACGGAGTGACAAATCCCAGTCTCGATCCGTGTCAATCCAACATATACTTTCGGGGATACCTGTAGTATTCCTTTATAGTCACCCAGTTACGTTGTGACGTTTGGTACACCCAAAGCACTCCTACGGTATCCGGGAGCTACACAATCTCATGGTCTAAGAAAATGATACTTGACATTGGATAAGCTCTAGCAAACGAACTACACGATCTTGTGCTATGCTTAGGATTGAGTCTTGTCCATCACCTCATTCTCCTAATGATGTGATCTCGTTATCAATGACATCCAATGTCCATAGTCAGGAAACCATGACTATTTGTTGATCAACGAGCTAGTCAACTAGAGGCTCACTAGGGACATGTTGTGATCTATTTATTCACACATGTATTACGATTTCCGGATAACACAATTATAGCATGAATAATAGATAATTATCTTGAACAAGAAAATATAATAATAGTCATTTTATTATTGCCTCTAGGGCATATTTCCAACACCTGTTTCCTCGTTCGATCGCCAAGATGCCCAGCCGCCATAGCGGAGCCCTTGGCCGACGCCGAGATCCGTGGGGATCCGCTGCCGCCATTGCCGAGGTCCAAGAGGAGCTGCCACCGAGGCCCGCTATCGTCGATGTCAAGATCCGAGAGGAGCCGACGCCGCCTTCAAACCTGGCCTTGACGTCTGCGTCAAACCCCATGGCAGGGCTGGTACGAGCGGCGCTAGGTATGGCGATTCAAACCCTAGGGCTCTGCCGGGCCACGCACGCCGCCTGCTCTCCAAGCGTCGTCGTCGCCCCACGTGCGGTCTGCCTCTCCCCACCTCCACACATCACCACCGCCCACGCACGCCATCTGCCCCTGCACACCTCCACGTACCGCCAACGAGGTCGACATTGCCGATGGGATCACCACAAGGTGATCGAGTTGAATAAACCTAGCTCGTAATACGTTGTTTTAGAGAATATCTTTTGGGCCGTGCGTCCCTTTAGCCTCCTCCCCCCCAACGTAAATGGCACGGGAACAAGATTTCCATACCTTCCTCGATTTCCTCCTCCGGCCGCACTGCCTGCGCGTCGACGCACACGCCCTGATCGTTGAGGAGGAGCAGTCGTCGCGCTCGACCTCGCCGGACCAGGACCCCTCGCCGGAAAATCAGGAGGGCAGGGGCATGAAGGTCGGAGACCAGGCGCACCGCCCATCGCTGATCGCAAGAGGGAGGCGTTGACGGCGGTATGATCCGGCTGTCCTGTTCATGTCTAATTTTGTCTCCTTGCTGGCCCACCTTGAAGCGTTCTTATGTAAAGTGAATATGCTTGCTTGCTTCCTCTTGCAACAGCTTCCCTCCACTCATAGCGGACTAGTGGACGCAGCAGCCTTCGCTTTGCACAACCAGCTACGTACACTATCACATCCGCGATCGTGCCCGTGCCGTGCTAAACAAAGATTAGACAGTATATCGGGCCAACGGCACCGCGCGACGACGCGAGCACACGGTGGAAGCGGGGACCCACGGGAGCCGAGCTTTGCCGCGCTCCGAAGCTAAAGGGAGGTGGCAGGCAGGACGGCGTCAAACGTGCGCGGCCGGCTGTTGCGGTTGCGGCGCGGGATCGCGCGACCGCGTGACTCTCACTCGCTCTGCTGCCTGGCGACGCGACGCGAGTCACGCGATCGCTCTCCGGTCCGCGCGCCGTGTGTGTGTACGGGCGGACTCGTTCGTTCCTTTCGGGGGACCCCTGCTCCACGCGGGGGGCGGGCCATGCACCGCGCGTCGTCGGCTCCAAGTCGCCGCCGCGGTTTCCCCCGCCCTCCTCTCGGGATGCCCCGCGTGTCAGTCCGTGTGGGCTGTCGGTCGCCGGGCGGAGCAGGCGCGCTACGCAGTTTCGTCGACACACGAGGCCGTTCAATTCAACGACGCGTATCACCAGCGTCCGCAATTCTGCGCTTTTGCAGTCGGGACTCGGGAGGACGATGAACGTGCCTTTGTAGGGGTAATCTTCAGCAGTCATACCAGAGGGACTGAACTTCTCTGCACGGTACTAACACAATAACACGGAGTTGTTTCTTTTGCTAGTCCGAACATAAGAACTTGCTACCTTTTCGATGATCGAACCAGTTTATTTCGAAAAACAAGTTAGTAGATACCCAAAAGAACCATATTATGATTACTGTTAGCATGCCAGTAAGTAGTCAAGACAGATCGACTAATCAGAGATAAACCATAATCATGCACAACAGCCATACACCGAAGAAATAAAAACAACACACGGTTAAGAATGGAATGGAAATCATAAATTTCACATTAATCAGAGAGAGATCAATATTGTACACTGAAGAACAAAATGCTCTACTACTGGCTTCTTCCTTTTTTGTCCTTTTCCCCTTGCTTTTAAGGAAATTGTAAGTAACATTGGGAGCAGATAGATGGATGTTTCTCATGCTACCTGCCTCCCCATGCAAAAAACGCACGCACGCACGCGATCTATGTACACCTACTTACCCTTATCCATCGATGGATCGATCCTGGCAATTAAACGGCCGATTAACCTCTTACTAGTACACGCCATTCTTCTAAACTTTAAATTCTACCACGAGAGAGCTTGCTTTACTTCCGGGCCGCGTCGTCATCGGGCGACCGAGATCGGTCCATCTCCTATGCCATCTCCACCGGCGGCGGCAGGTTCAGGTCAAACCCCACGCCCACGGCCGGCGAGGCGTCCACCACGGATGACGACGACCCGGTGTCGCTCTGCTCTTCCTCGTGGGACGCCACCTTGTTCATGCCGCTGATCGCCGCTGACCGGCACGGCGCCGGCGCCGGCGCCGGCGCTGCCACGGCCACGGTCACCGCGACCCTGGGGTCCAGGAACAGGAACGGCTGCGCCGCCACCATGGCCGGCATCGCCAGGCTCAGGTCGAGCGCCGGCGGGGCCGCGGGGGCAGCAACAGCAGGAGCGGCGGGCGCCGCGGCCGGCGTGTCCCGGGACGACGACTCGACGGTGCTGCTGCTGGGGCTCACGGCCAGCGCCTTGGGCGGCGGGAGCGGGATGTGCGTGTAGGCGGCGACGGTGCCGACGGGGAAGTTGGTCTTGGCCTTGGGCCCGCGGTAGTGGAGCGCGGCGGCGTCGTAGGCGCGCGCGGCGGCCTCGGCGGTGTCGAAGGTGCCGAGCCAGACGCGCGCCTTCCTGGCCGGGTCGCGGATCTCCGCCGCGTACCTGCCCCACGGCCGCTTCCGCACGCCGCGGAACCTGGGCTCCATGCCGCCGTCTGCGGCGGCGGCGACGGCGACGGGGAGCGCGTTCTTGGGAGCCATGGGGAGCGGAGCGCCGAGTGTTCGACCGTGCGCGGCGGTTGTTGTTGCGGTGGCGCGGTGCGGTGTTGGTTGGTTGGTCTGGCTGGTTGGAGCTGGGGGAGGAGAGGCGATGGGGGGGCGCGGTATTAATAGCGGAGGCGGGAGGCGTGGAGGAGCCGGCGGGAGGGGCGGTTTGACCCACAGCCAGCCAGAGGAGGGGAGGTGGACGCGCCGCCCTGCGCCGTCTGTTCCTCCGCTAATACCTCTGTCCCTCTGTTTTTTCTTTTTCTTTTGCACTTTCGATTATTTGGTGGGGTGTGTACTGGTGCGCAAGTGCAGTGCAGGTGCGGTGTGGTTGGTTGGTCGCTTGGTCAGTCTGTACTATACTGAGCAGTGCCGGTTTGGTTAGGGTGAGGTACTCCGATTCTCTACGCGTAGTGCCGTTAGTTCACGGCGTGTACTAGCTCTTTACAACTTTTTATTCTGGCCGTGGATCCATGGAATGGTAATCGCGCACGTTTTACATCTCGTTTTCCTCTCGGCGTACATGTACGCCAGCGTTAGTTGGTTCGGTATTCGTATGTGCCACGAATTGCGCCCGTCTTTAGACCAAATGCACGTGGCCCTTCTTGGCTTATACCGAGAGCAACAGTTACCAATGTCCACGGATTTAATCTGCTTTGCAGCGGCGAAAGGTAATTACCGGATCATACGGAAAATCGCGTCTCCTTCTACGGAGGAGTCTCCTTAGCTTTCCGTGCCTTCGGTTCGGTCCACTGACTGGGCCTGAGGTACTACTTGGTCGGTCGTGTGTTTTCGCGTCAAGTGCCGCTGCAAAGCGACCGGCCGGTGGTGGTGCGGGCGCGCTAGTGCGTGCGTGCGATTCGGTGGTGCTAGTTCCGTGCGCCCGGCCACAAAGACAGACAGCAACGGCGCTGCTGCGGCCGCGAGTGAGCCAACGGTATCGCCGTCCCCGTCCGCCCACCCTGATCGCTCTCCACCACCCGACCCGACCCGACGACGTCCGAGCATGCAATTTCCCAACGCGCGCGCGCGCACGGGCCACGCCCCGGCCCCGCCGCCGCGTGGGGCCGGGTCTCGCGGCGGGCCGCGTGGCCCGCGGTGCGGTGCGGCCTACGTGTTGGGACGTCGACGGGCTGACGGGGACGCGGGAGAAAGGGAAGCGGTCTCGTTTTTTTATTTTGCAAAAATAATCCGGAGGAGGGGGCCGCCGCACCGCACTTGCACCGCGTCTTCCTTGCCTGGCACGGCGGCGGCGGCAGCGGTCCGGTCCAGGCAGATTCGCGGGAGATCTGCGTGGGGGCGGAGTATTGTATTATTGGTCGACGTGCTACGTGTGTCTGGATCGGGATGGAGGTACCGGCCGGTCACCGCTGTTCCTGTTCGGACGGTGAATACGAAAGCCAGCGGAGAATTGATTTGTCTCGCTGTTCGCTGCCCGCTGCCGGCGGCATAGGGGGGTGTTGATTGCGTCGCCTCGAAGCTTCGTGCTGCTCGTTTAGCAGTGTTTAAGGTGTACGGCGGCACTTGAACTGACTGTTTCGATGACTATACTAGATTTTGTCTACCTGATGCGAAATTTACGTGCATAATAGCATCTACGGCCGCATATGACAAATACTAGTGGTTGATGCCCGCCATTGCGGGCCGCTTGAGAGAAAGCTATGCCTATCTCACCATCACCATCATGTTAAAAAAAGGCCAGTACTACGCGCCGGCGGACCGGCCAGGGGTTCGGCCGGTCAAGTCCGAACCGTCAGATGCAAACGCTGCTGGCCATCAGATTAGCCTTATCCCTTCGCCAAAAGTCAACTCTCTCCTTCCCCACGAGCGCACTCCTCGCCGGAAGTAAAAAGGGGAACGACCCGCAGCGGCCAGCCTACACGCGCTACCAACTGCACATCTCCCGGCCATGGCCGCAGCACCTCTTCATCGCACATCTCCAGCCATGGCCGCCTCACCCCTTCGCCCCGCAACTCCCGGCCATGGCCGCCTCACCCCTTCGCCGCGCATCTCAAGGCATGGTCACTGCACCCCTTCGCCGTCGTGGCAGCTTTTGCTGCCTATGGTGGCAGCTTCTTTCACCGGGGTGTTGCAACTTGCAGCATTCAGGTGCATCGTCCCGTCGTCCTCGCCATTGAAGCTCCCTGCACGGGTGTACGCTGAGCGCTCCGTCATTCCCTATCGTAGCAAATCAGCTCAACGGTGGTAGCTTTTTGTTTGCCGGTTGCAGCAAATCAGCTCAACCTCCGTGGTCGCCATGGTCACCATGGTCACCGTTGAATAAAAGAAAAAGCTAGTTCCAGCAAATTTGTACACCGGTTCCAGCAAAACTCTTAGATAGTTGTAGCAAAACAAAAGGCATCGCCACCGTCAAACAACGCCACCGTGCATGGATGCAGCAAAAAAAGTCACCGGTGATAGCAAAAATAGGACGTGGTTGTAGCAAAGTCTCGCTGTTGAGTAGGACGAACTCCGGTAGTAGCATTTTTGGGTGCTGGTTCCAGCAAACCTCCTAGCCGATTCCAGCAAAAACAGGTTGCGGTTGCAGCACCCCCGGTCCACCAGTCAAAAATGCTGCCATGACCCGACACTTCGCCACGGTCACCGGTTCCAGCAAAAATCGGGCGTGGTTGTAGCTCCGGGTCTAGCCGGTCGCAGCACTTGACCGCAGGGGAGGAAACAAGGACATGGACGAAAGTATGCCACGGTGCCTTCCTCGTCGTCGTTCATGGTCTCCGCCATGAGCGCGCTAGCAACACGCGCGGGGACCAGCAGAGAGGGAGGAGGGGGAGAAGCGGAATAGTCGCGGGCACGCTGGGGAGCAGCGAGGATCAACAGAGAGGGGGCAGGAGAAGAAGAGGAATAGCCGCGGGCGCGCTGGAGAGCAGAGATGCGGGAGGTGGAAGAAATAGGGAAGAGGCAGCGTAGATGGCCCCCCGCATCCTACGTGTCGCAGGTTGCTTCGTTGGGAGCGTGCGCGCGTGGACGCGACTGGCCGATGCTTCGGCCGGTGCGCCGGGCCTAAATGTTTACCTTAAAAAAAATTAAAAATAGAAAAACTTCTCTAAAAAAATCTTTCTTTCATTTAAAAAAATTCTAAAAAAATACTTTCTCATTGTGACCAACCAGCATGCGTCACATGGCGTAGCTAGTTGGCCACCATTCTAACACCTCTTAATGGGGTTAATGACCATCAAACTTCCGTGGATGTGCTCGGACGCGTCTGCTAGCAGTGATCGAACACTCCTCAAATTAACAGAACTGCATCCGGACATCTCATGCTAGATGCTCAGATCCATTAAAGAATGCAAAAAAAAATCTATCTACTACGTACATGATCTAGTTACTCCTCGTCGAAGATGTCGACTATCTTCATGCCCGGCTCCAGGTACATGGGCGGCAGCTGCAGCTACGGCTCCTCCGGCTGCTCCGCTCCAGCCTCCTCCTCCTCTATCTCCACGTCAAGTTCGGCGAAGAGCGCGTTGGACACCGACTGCTCTTGTCGGAGGAACTACCGGTTGGTCTCCACATAGGCCTCGTCCTGGATGGACTCCAGGATGGCCTACTGCTCCGCCATCTCCGTGGCTTAGGCGACGGCGAACTCCGCCTTCGCCCTGTTGAACACCGGAGCAGACTGCTCCACCTCATCATCCTCCAGATCCGCCACTTCTATTGGCTCCGGCAGCTGCTCTCCCTCCTCCTCCTCTGGCAGCTCCTCCTCCTCCTCCTCCTCCTCCTCCTCCTCCTCCTCCTCCGGCGAGTCTGTGGCAACCCCGCAACGATGCGGGAGGCACGCCTTGCCTGGATCGCCTCCGCGATCTGCCTCCAGCGCACCGAGTTGAGGGTAGTGATCTTCCGCCGGACCATGGCGATGCCGGAGAGCGTGGAAGAGAGGAGGCGGACGGGCTCAGGTGGTGGCGCAGAGAGGGAGGAAGTGGATGGGCTAAGGTTGGGGACGCCGACCGGCTTAAATAGCTGGGCTTGGCCTCGGGAGATGAGCCGGAGCGACGCCACGCGGCGTTCACACCGCGACGACGGAGGAAGCGACCGTCGGACCGCCGGGTTTCCGGAGATTCCGCATGAGACCCCATCGTCAGTCCTACACGGCGTCCCCCATATCTGTCCCATACTTGGGCTGGATATGAGGGATGTCGGTCAGCCCGGGTATTTGAGGCCCGTTTGAGGCGCCCGTCTAGGTCAGGTTTTCGTGACCGGTCAGTGATCGGATGGAGCGCCCGGGTGTTTGAACTAGTTTGAGGAGCCCGTTTGATGCCTCATACTGATGCCCCAGCCCATCCAGCTAGACAGAAAAAAGTGAGGCGCCCGTCTGGTTTATTTTCACTCAACGCCTAAATCTGAAGCGGTCATGAGTATGGGCCTTGCTATGGTAATCGTCTTCCTCCCCACCCATCATTATCTCTCACCTCCTTTTCCTCTCTCTCTTCATTTTTTGAGGGAAAACATCCGATTTATTTATCTTCAATCATGGTAGTATAATGAACAACATAAATAATAAAAATTACATCTAGATTCATAGACCACCTAGTAAGGACTTTAAGCATTGAGCGAGATGAAGGCGCGCCTCCATCGCCCCTCCCTCACCAAAACCGGGCAAAACTTGTTGTAGTAGACAGTCGACAAGTCGTTGTGCTAAGGCCCCATAAGACCAACGCACCAGAACAACAGCCGCCGCCGATGAAAAAACATAGATAGGAAGGATCCAACCCAAAGACACGAAAAGTAGACGAACGACGAACATATCCGAGCAAATCCAATAGAAGTAGATCCACCGGAGACACACCTCCACACGTCCACCAACGATGTTAGATGCACCACCGGAATGGGGGCTAGGCGGGATAGAACCTTATTCCATCTTCAGGGAGACGTTGCCGCCTCGCCTTCCTGAGCAGGACACAAACTCTAACAAACCTCGAAATACACATCTAAAAACGAAGCCCTCCCACAGGCAAAGGCCGGGATCCACCATGCCCCCATGG